TGCATCGCCCACAGTCGGAAGCAATTTACAAGTTAATAGGTTATCACAATTCGTTCTGTGGGATCTCACTTGTCTTATTCCCTTCTCTCACATTCTCGCGAAGAGAAGTCAGAATTTATTTCGGTCAAGCTTCTTCCTCATACACGCCCATCTAATTGGCTTGCGCGCCACTACTTCTCACCTCTGTTTAAGATCAATCTAAACTATTCTAAAATATTTAAATAAATTTTCTATTAAATAACATCTATTAAATTATTGTAATCGAGAGAAAACTTGATAATTTTAAATTATCATGATTATGATAAATACTGTGCTTTTAATACTCGTGTTCTGCATGTATCATATGATTTAATATATTGAAGAAGGAAAAAAAAAAATTAAAAAAATTCGAGCAAGAAGAGAATAAGGGCGGATATATTAGAGGGTAGGCGGTTACCGGTTTCGCTTCTCCACGAAAAATCGATTATCAATTTTGAATAACTACGAGAGTAAGTATGCTGGAAAGTTGTTCCTGTTATTTCAAAGAAAGACAGATATATAGTGTGAGAATAAGAAAAAGAAAGTGAGAAGATTTCTTGACGTTGGAATGCCGACGGAACCTTGAGTTCAACAATCCTTTACAATCGATCGATCGCACAGTTCAAGGAAAAAGATGTTGCATATAATAATTATTAAAAACATAAATATAACGAAATGAAAAACGTGTAATGATTAAATGTATAATCAAGTATGTATCTTGTAAATAGGAGAATGTGTAAATGTATACACTTCTATTGAAGAACAATCACAAAGCTAACATTGTATTCTCTAGGATTATATATGAAGGGCAATGAAATGTGAGAAGTTAGCTTGGTTAAGACTTTTTATTTACCATGAGGTTTTCAAAAACAACATCTCTATTTTTGCCAGGTAATTGGTGGAGATAATAACCAAGATTTTGAGTTGAATTTAGCAAAGAAGTGCACTAGAGATGACAAGTCAATCTAAAAATCAACAGACAGCCCTTTTGAGATTATTATTACATAATCTGTAGAAAGACAAAGGTATAAATGGTGCTATGTATAGTTTTAAAACTAGAATTTTTAAGAATTCATTTAATTCTTGACGTAAGTCATTTTATTTCATCTTTTTTCCAACTTTACTTTCAAAAGTTTCTGCATTTTTGATCACTGTTTAAAGGAATCCACCTTGGACCATGAGATTGTCTTGTCCTGGTTTCCTCTAAAAGTTTATAACATAGTAAATAATTCAAAATAATGTTGCTAATGCTATCCAAGAGATATATAGCACTTTTTACTTGGAAGTTTCAAGTAAAAATCAGTTTATGATTTGTAATGGAGAAACAATGAAGAATCCATTCAACGTTGATGTAAAAAATTCTACATTAAATGCTAATTTTTCTAAAATGGATGAATGAATACTTTTTCAACTACACTGGAAGAACACTTTCAGTCTGACCAAAAATTCCATCTTAATTTAATCCATATTTTGAAGAGAGAAATATTTATCCCTACCAGCAGAAAACGTTTTTGTGTAACGCTAAAACACCAATTTTGCCGTAGGACTTGAACTTGTTCTCTCATAAATATGTGAAGTTACAGAAGTGTGTAATACTAAAACACTAAAAGAGAGATTATGTTATCTACATGTGAGATTTGAAGATTACAAATATCTTTCTTTTTTAGACTCAACACAGTGTGCTAATTTTTGATAATTTCTTATGAAAAAAAGAATCATGTACTTGGTGTTTTAGAAGTAGGCAACTCTGAAGAAGAGTATTATTGTGAAGAAAACAATCTCATCATACCCTTAAGATTAATTATCTAACTTATAACAACCTGCTATAAGTAGCAATACTTAACTTGCCCATAAGGTTAAAATAGATGTGGCAGATATCCAGATAGCTTCAGATAGCATAAGGATCTTCTAAAACTTTGTGGACAAAATTTTATAACTTGCTTATAAAATTTTAATATTCAAGACACTTTAGGTATATTGATTGCTTCCACTGTAAATCGTAGTGTTTTAATTTAAAACACTTGAAGTCACCCATTTGATTAACATTGACGTAATTTTTAATGCACTTGGAAGTGTTTGAAAGTTACTAAAATATTAATCAAATGGATAACATTATTTTAAAACACTTTAAGTGTTTTAAATAAAAACACTACGATTTGTAGTGTCTATTATAAATGAATTTACAGTATTACATGTAAAATAAAAATTCAATTGTTTTGAATATAAATAAAAAATATCATTAATTTTAATAAATTAAAAGTATCGTACTTTTAAAGATATTTAAAGAAAAAAATTAAATGTAATTTTATGATAAAAATATTTCATTTACATTCCTACTTTAGTGATAACATATACCTATATATATATATATTCCCTCACACCCGCACGCGTGAGAGCATATACTATGTCATGGTCAAAACCTTTCTTTATTTTGCCTTTACATTAAATCAGATTGTGTATCATCAGAATAATATAATATTACTGTGAATTATCATTGTTCTTTTTATAACAAAACTTATAACACAAAGTATTAAATAAAAAAGAAATAATTAAAATCTGGATAAATTAGTATACTTAATATAAATGGACAATTTTAATTCATCACTCATGATACTATAATAATACGAATGCGGGTCATAGAATGTGTTAGCTGAAACTTAAAGGACTCGTAGACAACGTAGAAGTATTGAGAAAAGCAAGCCTGTAACGGTATTCGAAGAATTGTAGTTGAAAGGAACGTTACTCTGTTGGAGTATCGATAAGAATCACAGTGATGTAGGAAGGAGAAAATGATAGATTGAGTGAAAAAATATATAGACCAATTTATGAAACAAAAAAAAAAATCAATCATAACCTATACATTATTAAATAAATAATACTCCATAAGAATTTATGGAAACATTCTTTTATTTCTTCTTCACTCTTTCAGTATGTTATACTGATAAAAATAGAACCAACGAACTTGTCTATTACTGACGAAAAAAAAAAAATATATAATGACTGGATAATAGTAATTTTAATGTTATAAGGTAGTAGGATGTACGAAGTAAAAAAAGATAAACGAACGAGAAATTTTTCCAGCTGTTCAACACTATCTTTGCATCAAATCAACAACGAACAGTATACCTATGTACACCCAATAAACTACCGAGGGCTACGTTTCAACCCTCGATATCTTTATGATCAAAGGGTGGTATTACCCGTTAGTTTGTCATTCTAGTAAATATTTAAAAAAAAAAAAAAAAGATGTATTTATAAAGCAAAAGGAGAGTACAGAGCATGTGGCCACTATAATGCTCGATGGTCATTGCGTGCAACGAGACGTGCTATAGAAAAGTGAGAATATAATCTTACCAATTTTCCTTTTTCTAAATAAGAATCACGCAAAAGTTTTATGTACTATATAAACACCATTACATATAAGATTTTACTTTTTAATCACTAGAGCAAAAAAACACGCGATTGTTTCTTAGACATAAATTAAATGAAAGCGCAATAAATTAAAGTGTACTTGTTTGACTCGTTTGTATATAATGAACTTTAAATTTTTTTTTAACAAAGTTAAATATAAAATACATATTAAAGAGAGAAAGAAAAAAACAGACTTGGAAGAACTTTAGTTCCAAATTCATCAATAATTTGTGCTTAAATACTTTTGATATTTTAAATACTCCAGGTACTGGAGAACAATTGTTTATTAAAGAATACTTGAATTAAAAAACTTTTCTTTTCTCCTAAAAAACGGAATCAGTGAAAACAACTCCAGTTTAGTGATTATTCACTGATTCGTTTAAAAGAGTTTAAAAGAAAATCATTAATCATACCATATTTGCATCAATGATATCAAATGAATTGAATTTTCACGAATATCTTTAGATGTAAATTAATACGACAGATTAATTTTATCTAACATATACTTAGTTTGTCTATTGAATTGATTTTTCATAATACTATACTTTCTCAGTTATAAATATTCATTCAAAAAATTACTCACATTGAAAAGTTGAGCTCTTGAAAATTATTTTCTATTTAGCAATTTTTTTTTTAATAAAATACTTTTACTTCTTAATGTAAATTCTAAAATGATTATTTTTATTCTAATCCAACAATAAACAAAAATTCTCCATATTTCTTTTATTTTATATTAAAGCCCATCACTTAGAATATAAGTGATGAATTGTTTCCAAATTTAAATATATTTTGTTGTTAAATAATAAATCGAACGATGAATATTGCTTCAATAATATAAATTATAGTATTTAATATTTTTATTTATATAAAGACTGATGATTTTTTCTACTTAAAAATAATCTTGAATTTAAATGGAGTTAATTACTGTTAGATAATTTCAGACACGTGTAATTGTTACTCAAAACCGATTCATACTTGATTAAATGTGGTAACGTACTCTGTGGCACATTGATTCGTTATGTCAAGAGCATAAACAAGAAAAAATAATTTTGGTGAAGCGTGATATGAGTACACACGTGAATTCCCGACCCTCAACAAAGTGACGAATTGATGGGCGTGTCTAAGTCTCATCCTCCTGTCACAATATTTGAGCTTTGAATTGACGATTTTTTTATTTGAAGAAATGCTATAATCTCTTTCATATTCAACACTAATAGTTTTTATCATAATTAATATTTCGTGACAATTAATAATTAAAATTAATGAAATGGACAGAAATGACATTCACAAAATGAAAATAAGGAAATTATTGAATTATTAAAATGAATAAACTAAATAAAAAGGTGTTGACCTATAATATTAAATTTCAAATAACATAAAAAATTATAATTGAAAATAAGAAATAAATTAATATGACTAATGAGTTTTTCTCTATCAATCATCGTACTTGACTTATTACCAAGATGATTATTTATGACCAAGTATTCATAAAACTTTCATTACAAATGTAATAATATTAAATATATCCTACAGGTATGTATATGTTATAATTTAATAATTAAAACACTTACCAATCTCCTCTTAGGTTTAATTAATGGACGATTCTGTCCATTCATTTTATAATAAAGTCCACAAGCGTTGCAAAGATAGTGCCCCGTACCATCTCGTCTCCAAAGTGGTGTCGAAGTTGCTCCACAATTGACACACTCTCGTCCCTCTATAGAAATTGTTAAACTTTTATTTAGTATTTATTTTTTACATCTCAAATAATTATTTTAAGCTAAAACAATAACATTTCATCAGACCACTAACAATTGTGAACAATTAAACATTGGCTAGTGACATATATTTCATTATCGATCAAGACTTTTGATTATTTAAGTGATAAAAAATAGAACGAAACATTGTAAAACAACTCAGAAAAAAGTAGATATACATTATTATAAATTCATTGGAGAATAAAAAAATATTGCCTCTTCAACCAGCTACATCAATAATGATATATATATTCACTAGATAATTCTAGAGGAAATAATTTTGAAAAATAAATATTTTTATATCTATTATTTCACAATTACTTCACTCAACCATTTATATAAGAGAGTGAAAAAGAAGAAATAAGTGAGTTTGTTAGTTTATAGGTTTTTTTATAAGATCAGAAGTAGTACTTACACTGAAAGAAAGAGAAAAATATCTGAATGTACTATCATGAATTAATTTACCATTCATCATTTTATAATTAAGTCGTAATTATCAAAGGACTCTGGGATGTTAAACAAGAAATTACATGATAGTAAATCCAACTATTTCGATTTCCAAGTTGAAAACTACTACTATACAATACAGGAATCCTTAATTCTGTAAGACATTAACACGTATATCAAGCACTTCTGATCTGATCCTTAACACTTTTCGGCTTGGGTTTCTTTCAGTGTAAATAATATTTTTTAAAGGAAGCAACAAAAGTATATGGTTAATCAAAATTTACTAAACATTTTCTTCTTTTTGTTATTTGGAAAACAACAGTAAATTTAACTCACATGCATTGCCGACATACCAATAAGCGAGTACCAGAGCAAAAGCAGAAATTTATTAGAGGAATGTATCAATGTACTATTTTTTTTTTTGTTGTTAATGGTGAATAACAGGAGCCACTATAAATCGTGTTTTTTTGGGATATGGTTTGTTCATTAAATGGATTGAAAATATGAATAGAAGGAAAATGATCCATGGATTAATTATCTCTTTCATTATTTTTATTTTAAAATATGTTTTGTCAAACCATAAGCAGCGTCTCTTCTTTCCAATGTGTCCATCCTTACAACAGCTATCAATGTAGCATTGTATAAAAGTATTTTAATCAAAACTAAAAATTTTTAAACTTTTAAATTCCTTTGAATAGAAATTATTTTCATTTGGATTTAAAATAAAAGAAGCTTACTTATATGACAAAAATAATAAAGAAAAAAAAAACGATTTTAGTGGACTTGGTTGAATTTATTTATTCAAGTTAGAATAAAATGGTTACGTTGGACTAGAAAAAATAGGAATAACATTTTAATAAAGGAATGAATTGATATTATTTTTTGAAAAAGGATAAAATTAACCTCACCATTGTTAGTTTCAAACTACAATAAACGGAGAATAAAATTTATGTTAATATGATGTGTAATCTTTTAAGTCAAAGTACTTGGATGTTTGCAATAAAAATACTTAGCTATGAGATGTTTACACATGATAGTAAGTTCAACTATTTTGATTTTTATCAGTGAAATTATCGAAAATTAATTAAACAAAATGTCGTAAAACTTTTACTAACTAAATGCATGAATTTAATTTTTTAATTTTTAGATTATTTTTGTGCTTTAATTTTAAAAAATCAATAAGGAAAATTTTTTGCAAAATTTGTTAGATAATTAATTATGAAATTCATATTTTTGTTTACACGAATTGGAAAAATAAATAAACTAATGAGAAACATTGAATTATTATGCAATCAGACGTTTTTTTTATTTTTATTTTTCTTGGAATTTTCTTTTTGTTTAGAAGTAAAGTTCTCACACATTGAATAAATTAAGAAAAATAGACCTATTTTCGTTTCTTTCTTCATTACTACCTAGTTTTTACGGTGTCTTCATTTTCATTTTGTTACGGCAGACCGAATACGTGGGGCATGTGTTGAAAGAGAATTTAATTAACGTGCTATCGCAACTGTTAATCCATTGTTGGCAGAATTAGGGATATTTTATTTTATCTTAAATTGACCTACTCATGTAATTACAATACTGCAGTAATCACATGTTTTCACTTTACAAGGTATAGTTTATTATTATAAGTAACTAATTTTATATTTAAGGTTTTGCATAATTATTTTTTAATAAAATATCCAATAAATAAATGAAAAAACATTTAAACCACAATAATTGGAATATGTGGATGATTGCTGGTGAAACAAATTTCAGCCACACCACATCGCAAAAATGTGCTTTCGTGTTGTGTTCTATTGCTTTGCGTATTATATTTTAACATTAAAAATCCTATTTTATGAAATATTTTTCACGTAATATAATAGTGCGCGCGTTTTTGTATGTGCCACTCAAAATAGGTCATATATGTGAGACAAAATACAAAAAAAAAAAAAGTGTTATCGTCCAATACCGGCTATTTCTTCAAAAACAAATATTAAAACTCATAATAAAAAAATTAAAAAAAAAAAAAAATCAAAACAAATGATATAAAAGTGAATAATATAAATATAAATAATTAATAAAATATTCTATGAACTGATTACAATGTTTGACTAGATTTTATAATGATATAATAAATACAATATATCTGTGATATATCAAACAGATTATACACTATAACTTACAGATAAGTTATAATGTATGTTTTTTGTTTAATCAGCTCATGTGAGTTAAATGAAAAGATACGAGGTAAACAAATTGAAAAATGAATGAATAATATTGATAAATAATTGGTGAAAATATATAACAAAAAGGCAATGAAAGATGTTTAGTAAATCATAAACCAAGCATAAGTGAAAAGAAAGAAATAAAAGATGTATGTAATATAAAAAATAAATAAGAGTTAAACCATAAAAGAAGAAAGAAATGCCGCTTACCGGCGGACGTTCTGGATTTGTTCCTCGGCTTTTGCTGCTGCTGTTGTTGGGAACTGGGTGAATTGGGGGTGTTGCCGTGTGAAGAGCCAAGAAGTTTGGCTTCAGGACTGACACCGGGTACGCCTGTGGTTGCGTGATGGGAAGCGGAGAAGAGCGACGAACTATTGTGAGGATTGTGGGCGTGATGTGTAGGATACTGGAGATGTTGATACATATTGTACGCGTTAGCTGTTGGATCATATTGGGAACTGGAAGTTGAATGATGATGGTGATGATGGGAAGTTGAATGATAGGAGTCTCGGCATGAAGGCGAAGTTGCACTGCCAGGATTTTGGTAATCCTGTTGCTGTTGTTGAGTAGTGTTCGCTTGTTGGTTTGCCGACGGTTGACTGTTAACTGCATTGCTGCCAGTTGTTGCTCCTGATTGATTATTACCTTCACGTTGTTTCACTTGACTCGAACTTCCATTACCACCATTGTGTTGATGTGGTGGTGAAGGAGCTCCATGATGATGACTTAACATTACCGAAGGCTTAACGTCACAAGAACCCCCTGAAGTTGCTCCTAAAGTATCTTGGTGATGCATAAATGCACCCATAACAGCTGCGTGGGCTACTGCTGCTTGGTATTCACTGCTACCACCACTTAAACCCAGTCCATTGCTTCCATTATTATTATTCGTACTATTACTGTTATTATTGCTAGCTGAAGAATTGTTATTCGTACTAGAACTTGTACTTGTCGTTATACTATCTGGAGTAGCATCTTTTGGTGGTGTAGGTGGAAAAGAAAAAAGGTGATGGCTACCTGTCGTACTACCATTTCCTACGTGACTGGATAAGCTTACAGTACTTGGCGGTAAAGAAGATCCCAGTGGACTTTGGGGTTTATCCTCAGCACTACCACCAGTTGATGCTGTTGTTGAGAATGCCCAAGGTTTGGATCCATCCGCACTAGTTCCAGATAGCCAGGGATGAAGCCCATGGAAATGTGGACGACAAACTTGGCTCACTGGTCCACTTGGTACTCCACTACCTGACATTCTGCCTAAAAAATAAATAACAGTTATTCATTTCATCATTTAATTAACAATAAAAAAAAAATATCTGCTTATCTCTTTAGAAAAATCAAATATAACTCTCTCTTTCTCTTCCTTTCAATATCATCTACCCAACATGTGTCTTTTTTACTCCAATAAGTCATTTATAAGAGAAAGACAGACTAGAAAAAAGCTCTAGCTAACTATGCAAAAATGGATAAGCTTTGATTATTTATCAAAATTGGTTTAAAAAATTGCTTAGCATAAGCCAGAGTCCATTAAATAAAATTAATAATTAAATATAAACATAATATGGCAATATATTGGATGTAATGTTGAATATAATTGTATTAAAGCCTCATTATTTTTAATATCATTACCCTGAGGATTGTACTTTGTAGAATAACAATTAAAAAATGACTAATGATTATCAATTATAAGGTATAATTAATAGAAAATCGGTTGTTAATTTTAATGAGTATACCAAACAAACTAGAATTAACGAAAGAAATTTTAAACATAAACCTTTTGCGCAATGAAGGTGGCAAATGCAACCTGGCAAGAAACGCTCAATATATCGATCTTGCACGCTCGCGCCTCCGTGCCAGGTAAGCCCAGGTAAAGCGAGCCGCGTGCCGAGTCGACACCAAACGAGAAGGAATTTTTTCCATTCGAATGCCTCTCTCAGGAAAAAGAAAGTAAGTGGGTGGACGATGAGAGTAAAAAAAAACTCACACGGTAAAAAGAAAACATTGGAACTTAAATTTGCAATCACGCGATGGCATAGACTTAGCGTCGCGACGCCTTGCTGCGCATAGCCATCACGATAATCGCTTCAACGATTCACTTCACATATTTTTCAAGTGTCAAGATAATTCATTTGTTAGCACGATAAGCTTTTTTTTTTTTTACAAAAAATAGGCCACATGTTAAAAGAAATTGGCTCATAATCAGTCACATCACGAGTAAGGTATCACGCCTCACCATGACATACCATTATTGCCATATATAGGGAAAATTTATTACGTTAAAGATTACTTTGAACTTGTGGTACTAATGAACTATCTCCAGAAAAAAGTTTAAAAAAGTTCAAGAATGCTGGATTTTTTGAAAATTTCTTCGACAACGATGTTTTCATCCTACAGATCGTGTAAAAGTCATTATTACCGTTAAATTACCAAATAAAAATCAATAAATAAAAACTTGATGAATAAAATGACATCAAGCTGAATTGAATCAAACCGAATATTATTTACTGGAATCACATTAAAAATTAGAAGATTAATAAATTAATATTTTATTTATAAATTTATTTTTTTTTATTAGAAAATTAAATATTAAAAATAATTATTGTAGATAAAAAAGTTGATCAAAAATAAATTTCTTTTTTCAGAAATTCTTTTCTTCATTTCTTCTTTGTTTTTTTTTTAAATAAATTACAATCAATAAATATTTATCCTCGTAAATAATTCATTTTCAATTAGTTTTATAAATTTATATTCAGATGTATTTGCATGAATAAGAATGTCAATTAGTTTTTTCAATAAACAAATTCGCATGTAATGATATGCTTTTTTTCTGTCAGTAATACAAAGTAGTATCAATTCCAGACTGCCCGACGCTGCTGAAACCCATGGTAGAAATTCATTTAAATTTTTTTGAAAAAAATTTCTAATTTCTGTACACTGCAAAACTTATATTTGTTAAATCAATACTCATAAAAACGGATATAATTTTAGGCTTCTAGACACAGTCTACTGCATTTTGCAGACATTCTTAACACTTTTGAAGACATAAAAAATTTTAATATGCCTTTATGGAAAATTAACCGTAATTATCTTTGATATTAACCCTCAATATATCTTGAGAACAATAATATGATAATTTCTAGTGCATAAATTGAAACTTTTTTAAGATATATAAATTATGAAGTTGAGAGTATAATACACACTATGGCTAATGACAAAACGTAAATACATAATTTTAAATATTTAAAAATCCATTCCTCTCATTCTTTATGCGAAATAAATCTGGATGCATCGCGCGTCATGCATCGCAAAGAACGATGTTTGCTGTTGCCGCCACCTTTCTCCATCAAAGAATCGATCACGTACTTGAGACGTGCGATTTCCGTACCGCGCTGCTGTGAACCAAAGATATTTAAAAGAATGAAAAGTATTTTCTATCCAGAATAAATACTAATCGATATTAATGAAATATTTAAATAGATATGCTAGTCAATATATCATTGGAAGAATTTATCTACATAATTATTACAAACACGGACATTTATCAAATAAAACAACTACATATTTACAATGTTATCTATTGAGAAGTTAACTGCAAAGATTTGAAGTTAAATTTCCTACATTTCATCAACTGATGAAAACATTTTATTTATTATGGCTTGAAGAACTTTATAATAATACTTCGTTTTATAGTGTTTGATATAAGCACACGTGTTTCAATGCATACAATTGATTTATATCACCTATAATTAGTAATTAATAAATAGTAACAACACAGGTGTAATGATAATAAATTCAAGTAAAATAATTAGTTTCTAACTATCAGTGTTTTTACAATGAGAAAAATATTGCATTGTAGATAAAAAAAAAGAATTTTGAAATAAAATAAAACATTTTAGTTCAGACATGAAATTATCAGAAGCTTTTATGGATTAGGGTGGCATTAATGTCTTTATTATATATGTTTCTTAAATCAATATCCCTTTTTTTTCCGGTCATCATATGAAGCTAAAATTTGCTTTACCATATTTAAACATTGGCGTGTTTTTTTTTTCTGTATCTGAAAGAGTGTTGGTTTGTATTCTGGCACAAATGAATTTTTGTTCTTCTACATGGAATAAAATATATCTTTCGACGGGGTAGAATGTCACTTTCGAACATCTACTCAAGAAGCAAGTTTCAACTTCCAGTAGAAGCGTGGCAAAAAAGAAACTTTGTCATGATAGCGAAATATAAAATACACTTGAATATTTAATGCTCTGTTCAATCTTTGTCTTTGAATTTTTAATCTTATCCACAGAGAGAATAGCATTGGTGAATTTTACAATAGTATTATTTGTAGCATGTCGTTTCAAATCGAAAGATTATAAAAAAGTTTTTTCAAGTATTGAGATTAAAACTTTTTCTTGTAAACAAAGTTGTTATACTATACAATAAATAAATGACAAATATTTTAATCTTGTCATATGAATGAATTTTTTTTTATATATTTTATTTTTTTTATTTAAAATATAATACAAACTCTTTCTCTGATTGATACTATATTCTTAATACTAACTATCAAACTACACTTGATTATTTCTATAAAAGTGATAAGATTTAATGATATTTTAATCGATATTTTAGTTTCCATTTTTACTTGTTAAATCATTCACAAAAATTTATAGATTTAAATTGAAGTTGAAGATAGGAAATGTCGTAATTAAACTTCAAAATGACTTCCTACTTGATCACTTCTAGCAGAGAAGTCAAGTAATGTTGGTAAAGGAATTCTGAAAGTTTAAATCTATATTCTCCTGAATAATATCAGTGTCAGTATTAATTTTAATTACTTATTGAATAATAGTATATTTGTATTGCATTATATTAAATTAATATTCTTAATCAATAACGAAAAAAAAAAAAGTTGAATCAAGTCAAGGTAAAATCCATGAAAGTATGATAGTACTTCATGCATTGTATTCACTTTTGCCACTAAATTTAACCATTAGTAATTTAAAAATCAGAAAACTATTTAAAATAAAGAAGTTTTTTGAATAAAATATCTATGAAAACTCACATTTTATTGTAGTTATCTAATTAGATCTTAAGATTACAATGCGAAGTCGAAAGCAATTTCCGTTCTGTGAGTAGTATTCATACACTCCTAACACAACAATTGAATGTTTCAGTATGAACTTTATCATTTTCTTATGCATAATAATATAACATATTGCGTCTCACTTCATTGCGTTTCAAGATTAATCATAATGAAAGAAGTTTCACGCTAGTTTATAAATTAATTCCAGTCCTTTTATCAAATTCAAACAACTATTATTTTGTATAGTTATATTCAAACATTAATTATTTTCAGTAGTATTAGAATATTTGTTTATATTAAACATAAAAAAAAAAAAAAATGAGTCCTTTGAAAACATGATGTTTGGTTGGAAGATATTCAAACTCTTCACTTAATCCAAACCAGAAATGTAATATAATTTTTTTAGGAAAGTTCTTTTGGAAATTTTTAACGGTATTATAACCGAACGTGTGTCCATTAAAGGACACAAAGGATTCATTGAAATCTTTGAAAACATTTGCAAGTCACAGTTAATAGATTTCTTTTGACAATAGATCGTGTGTCCACCTTCCAAGAGTCTCAAGTAAATAAAATTCTCATTGCTTTAAAATCAAAGTATTCCTTGATTTATATTTAGTAACTTTTTCCAACAAGTATATCTATCATTGAAGCAAAAAATTATCAGGATTGAACTAAGGACCACATCAGAAATGCTTTGGATTCCAAAGGACTCTTATCAAGAATGTAACGCCTTAAGTATACAAGATTCTGATCAGCTATTATTTACACTTGGAAAAAAAGTTGCAATCGTAGTTGTTTTTTTTTTTTTAAATTAGAATGAGCAGTTAATTAATTTTGTTCAATTCCCAGAAAGATATTTGCAATTTGATACTAAATAAAAAAATGCTGATTTTAATAAAACATTTGGGTTGCAAAATGAAAATTTAAATTTTTTTAAAACAATACATCATTATCATTAAAATCTATAAATACACATGTAGTATTACATTTTAAGCCAATTGATCTAATTCTAGATCATACGGCGATAGTATTCTAATCTAAGCTGTTAATTAATAGCATCTTCAAAGCTTAAATTTGATACTTCTATTTATGCATGTCAGGTTTGGCAAAGTATCTTCTCAGTAAGTCTACTAATGTTGCAAGCTTTTTTGTAATTTAAAAAAAAAAATCATCGCAAGTTAATTTTCAGCTACATTAAAAATTATTTAAATAAAAAAAAAAAACAATATGACGCAGACATTTTTTTGCTTGTGAAAACTTCTTTCAAACTTAGAGCATTTTGTTTTATGGAAAGAAAAAGTCTAATTGAAGTAAAGCAACAAAATTTTCAAATTCATATGCACCAAGACTAGACCTCAAAGGAAATTGATTCAACCAACTTGGAAATGATCAGAGTTTCGATTATAAAATAAACTCTGACATGACAAAACGGACGCGTCGTATTAAATTTGATCGTCGGACATCCAAAAACGGATGATCACAAAAAAAAATTAGTCTTTCAACTGATTAGAAATACTAATAATTAAAAATTCACTATTCTTCAAGACTACATGCATTTTTAATGACATATTTGTCAGACTATCCGAGGGTTAGGATTTATTTTGATGCAACTAAATGCATTTCATGAATAAATAAACACTTCATACAGTTAAACTGCAACAATAATCCAACTATTAAAAAGAAAGAAAACAAAATTAACATCAAATGTATAAAGTCGAATTGTGTTAACAAAAGATGGAAACATGACCCCCTCGGAAGTATTATCTTAGCTCCGCCTTCGGTTGCCGTGTACATTTGCACAAGATGGCGTCGACAGAACCGCGAATCAGTGCATATTCTCTCACATACTTTATATTATACATATACACTTATTGCTATTTCACATACCATTATAACTTATTCTTTCGTTAAAAATAATGCAGCTCAATTCAACTTTACGACAAATGAAATTTATGTAGTAATAATAATTCATCGATTGATTTAAAAACCTCTTCAGTTGACATTAATTTATAAAGTGTCGATGTATTACCATGATCAATCAAATGTAACATCGAAATCTGATGAATAAAATCAACAAAAAAAAATATCATCATCATTCCTCTTCAAATATAGGTGGAAACTGAAACCTTTTAAAACTATAAACATTTATTTATACATATTAACCAGAAGGTTTCGTGATGGTGGAAAATATTTATTAATAATCAATAAGTCTTATTAAACATTAAAAACTGTAAAAAAAATCCCAGTGATTTTTTTAGGTACTTTATGAGCTTGATATTAGAATGACAGTTCAGACTTCAACTTGAATAGTTTGGAATGTTTTTGTTCTAGCTTTATGATGGTAATGGTTAAATTATTTTCGTTAGACATTAAAAATTATTGGCAAATTATAATTTTAAATAAGAAATTTAGATTGAGTAGTTTAAACTAAACATACGTAGCAGATAAATGCGTGACAAATATAAAATTTTAGCAAAATACGCTCGAATTTCATCTTGCGAGGGCGTCTGTTCATTATGCCTGTCTGGTTTGGGTTGATACAAGTGTAAGTTAGTCAGATTTTTACTTGGAAATACAACCTTTATTCCTTTTATGAAATTGACAGTTTGGATACCATCAATAATCTACAGCTAAGCAGCGCCACAGAATACGTGTTTATTGATCATTAATAAATATTTTATTTTACCACCGCAAACCAATATCGATTTAGTATATATATATATATATATATATATATATATATATATAAAAGGCGATAAATTAAATATGACATAGTTTATTTTTTATAACTCAATATTCTAATAACCTTATGAAGTATTTGTTGATCGTTAAAAACAATTTAGTCTGTTAATGAATTAATTTCTTACTAATTAAAAACCTCTTCTATTTCAAACGAAAAAAAAACTTGAAGTCATTCACGTCTGCATCATCGGTGTTAATTATATTTACTTTCTATTTTCTGTGATCTCTTCATTAATATAAACATTGAGAAAAATAAAGTAAAAATCCATGTATTACTTGTTAGAAAAAATAATTAAAGCAAAAATTACTTGTCTGCATAATAAATAAATGTAAGTAGGTAATGTTGATAATAAATTAAATATTTGATTGCTCTACAACTTAATCATGAATACGATAAAGTAGCCTACTTCTTTAAAATTATTCTCCATAAAATTAAAACTATTAAGCTAGAATAAAAATTATTTTGATATCAAAAAATTGGCACAAAAGATGAAGAGTAATTTAAGTAGATATTTCGGATTGTTGTAAGGGTGTTTTTATTGGAATCAACACTAATGTAAAAATGAATATGATGTGTCAGAAATTGAAGGCAAAATAGTTGATTGCTTTACATACTGTATTTATATTCACACTAGAAGAATGACTAATTTTTCTCTGTATAAAATAAGATAGATTTTATTTAGAATAATAGATACTATTTTCAGTATTTTTTAACCAGTAGTATTAAATATTCGATACACATCTTTTAACGTATAGTAGATACACATAACTGTTGAGGTATATGATGCACGCATGTCGGCAAAAATCAGGGATATCGCGTTCCAAGGGCCATGCGGCTAGATCAAGTTTCGAGTTGCGTAGATAGAATTTTTTTTTTCTTCCCTTTTTCATTCTTTTTCTTATGGTGTCTTCTCGGTTTCAGTATGTTTATTTCTTTAAATGCAATCACGCTGTATGATGGTCAGCGCCGCATTTCTACGAATCGCCAGGCTGTCCGGAATTGAATCACGCTCCCTCGGTAATATTTTACTGAGCAGAAAGTTGAGTGGGGAAGCATAAGAAGAGTAAATAAGGAGTCGGATGCGAAATCGTGATAGCATTGACGCTGTACTCGTTACAGCGAAGCGTGTTAAATACTTGGCACATGCCAACAAAAATCTGAGAAAATCGAGAAGGGTGATCGACCTGATAATCTCTCAATCTACTTCAAGAAAGACCAATGGTATGAAACATCAGTCTAGGCACAACTAAGATATACGCCTATGCGATTCATTAGTGAATATATACTAAAAAGTTGCTACTTGATGCGTTAAGTATTATTTAAACTTCATAAAATTATCACATTTATAATGAGCTTAGTAATGTTAATTTGTATTAAAGTATATAATACATAGAAAATGGTAATGAAGAAAAATCATGAAGAAGTTGAATTTATTTTAAAAGCAAAAGTTATTTATGTATGATAATTTGCGAAAGATTTTTAATTTAAATTTTTTTGAGTAAATAGAGAGTAAAATTTTAGGTGTATAACAATTTGAATAAATTTAACCTGAAATATTGCTTTAGCAATCGGATACCAATTGTAATGGCTTAAAATTCTTTGCAAATAAAATGAGTGCCTGATTCTAAATTTATTTAATTGAATAACTTCTTTTTTTTTTTTATCTTTTTTTTAGAAGGGTTTAGGTATTTGAGAATTTTATCAAGTAATAAATAAAGTATTATAAATACTCACTGTGAGCATAATGGGCAGCTGCTGCTGGATGATGAGGAGTTGGTCCTGCATGAGGATAATAACTTCTATAATCAGGATTGCCAACTACTCCAGGAACTCCACTACTTCCTGTTCCGGACTCTAAAGTTGTTCTTGGCGGTTCATACCAGCGCGCCGCACTTGATTCACTACTCATGTCCATTATGTCCAGAATTTTTATAACTTTTAATTGCGAGCGTTTAAGCGCTCGTTCAATTTATAGATAAAAAAATTATCCACGACTAGAAAAGTAGTAAAATGTGTACTATGTATTTACAGAAAGCACACTATTTGTTTTTAAAAAATTAAAAACAAAAATTAAAGAAAAAAATGCATTTAATACACGCTATAATTTTTGAGGACCATGTCCTCGAAACAATATCACTACAAATTTCATAAGTCCTTATTTATTTAGCAGGCGTTGAATCAAGAATTTGAATTGCCCTGAAAAGAAAGAAAAAAAATATTTATTAATATTAATTATAATTAAAATTATTAAATTTTTAATAATAATAATAATAATAATTTTTTGATAATTACAATATTTTAAGAATGTCAAAATTAACAGTATTCCCAAAGTTAAATGAATATCTGAAATCGATGTCTTAATCAAAAGTAAAATAGAATCAGAAACATGATAACACGTAGTCAATCTACCTGTCTATAATTGGGCAAATGATTTCCTTATAAAGGGGAACAAGCAATCTTTCTACAACAGCGTTGATATCAAAAAATATTTAATCAAAAGTCCTTGTTCACATCTACCAAAGTCATCGAAAACAGCTAATATCAGATAAAACAGTTCAAATAAAAACAGCCAGATACTCTTTTAAAATCATTTTTTGTACTTCAATCATTAAAATTAAATATTTCGTCATTATTTAATTTGCCATTTTAATTATAATTCAATAAGACATTTTTAAATAAAATTGAAAATTAAATGATATAATAATTATTCTTATTCATTGCAGAAAGAATGTTATACTGTATATTGTAAATTTATCTATGCGTCGGACTAACAACATTTTATCAAAAACATCTCGAAATTACTCTGTTATTAAAATAATTTTTACTTAAAAAATCCATTTCTTGTTTAAACAATAAATTTAATATAATTAAAACACTTTAGAACATTGAAGGATAAGGTATCTAAATTGTATAATCTGATAAACTTTTTTTGTCAAATAAAAAATAAAAGTGAATTTTAAAATCAAAATATCAAACTCATAAATTAAAATAATTTGAGTTTTCTGAACTCATAAACTTATAATTAATTTTTAATTTTAGAAATAGAAATCGTATTTCGTGGAAAATAGAAAATCTATAATAAAACAAACGTTAATGATACTTTTCTCTTTTTCGAAAGTAAACATACAATGGATAAATGAATCAGTGATAAAATTTTGGAAATAATTTTTACTAATTATAATTAAATCAATGTATCCTACACTACTATATAGTTAATATTATCACTGAAATATTTTTTGATAACGTCATTAAACTGAATTCATCAATCATACCAATAAGTATAAGAGATACGGAAAGAAAACCATAAAAGATAACATGTTGACAATCACTTAATTCAAGGCCCGCACATATCTACTCACTGGTATGTATTTATGCAGTATTGTATTCGACAAGTTCTTATTACACAGATTAATCTACATTAATTTATGTCACAATATACTAGATAATTATAAAAAAATTATATTGGACACTAGTTTCTGTTCTACGACAACAATAATTATATTTCAGTAATTTTGATATTTGGGATAAAGTCATCATCAGTCGTTAACGTGATTCATATAATTAAATTCGATTGGTTGGTTATAGTATTAAGTGAATTATCTACTCTAATCAGTTTAATAGAATAAACATCAATGTATAATAATGCAATGCTCATTAATGATGTTATTTTTATAATAATCTATTAGTCTCAAATGTATGAACAAATTCAAAAATAACTATGCACAAGTATGTATTTATAATCATATACATTTATTGATTATTAAAAATACTTTTGATTAAGTAAATTTATTGTAATAAAAAATATTATATTATTATCTTGAAATATCGATTCATTATCTTCACGATAATACTCTATTGACCTTTCTCCTGATGCAATCTCATTGGATTTAGATAATCGATTGTATTTGACTTGAAATAAAAACTTTCGGCAAGATGTTTTATCCAAATAACATGTAATAAAAATCACTTGAAATTTTAAACTAAATTAGATTATTATAAATTATCAGAATACAGTATTAATAACAATCAAAAAATTAAATATAAAATAACATATACTTGAGAAGTGATTATTCAATTTTTTTAACATTAAATTCTTCAAAAAAAAAAAAAACAACCGCCTGCCTTTGCTTTCTGTGTGTATAATTACACAAGCACCGTCATAAATGCCAAACGGTTCATTCTTAGGATGACTTAACATTGTTAAATTTTTTTAAAAGTCATCAATTTCATATATACTACCACTTAGTTTCTTCATTTTAAATTTGGTTATAGACTCTATGGAATTTTTAAGTAACTTCAAATTAGGTTTTAATCTAGTTCTCTATAAAAATGATTATCAATACAATTTGTATATAATAATGAATTATAAACTTGGCATAGTTTTGATAATTTGAATAACCGATAATATAAAGTGATTTAATATTAATAATAAATTATTTTATTCACTTTAAATATTTTATTATATGTATTGAACCACGAGATACTTTTAAATCTTATATTTTCTAATTTCTTCTCAAGTTTTCCTATCATATTTTTTCCTATCAACCTTCATAATTCTTACTATAACGGTTGGTCAATAATTTTTCTTTGAAAAACCAATCACATAAAAAATAATAGTTCTTTTTAATAAACAAAACCATATTACAGTGTTAATTAATAAAGATACATTTATGAATATTTAAATTATCATTAGAAACGTGTTTAATAAATACTAGGCTAATCATGGAAATATTTATGATACCAAAAAGAAAGACAAAAATATTTGTTTAAATCAAAATTACTCTCTTTGTTTTTGCATTAATTGATAATCACATGATTATAACTAATTATAATGTATAAAGTAAATTAAAATATCAAGATATATTTTTTGTTCAAAATATTAACAACATGTCCGATATAAACTTGCTTAAATAGTTAATCTTATATTTAAACGACGTTTTTTTCATCCTACAAAATCCTCCGACGGCAAAACAATAAATATAATATATTCATTGGCAATTTAAATAAACTCAACTACGTGCATTGTTTCAATGCGAAAAAAAATAAATCCAAGCTAATGATTTTAACATATAATAAATCTGTAATTTGATATCAAAAAATATGAAATTCTTGCATTCATTTAACAACGTTCACTTGAGTGTCCTGAAACTTTAATCTAATTATGTGGACCGTCGCACGCGCCCTGCTGGGCTAAAAATCACCTGACAAATGTAACTTGATGAAGTGGATGTCGTAAATAGGTCAAAAGACTGCCAAGACCTTTCTTTAACGGATATTTGACTCAAAAGCCTCAGAGAGTAATAGCTTAAGTGCATAACATACAAGGCTGTATGAAAGAAATACACCTATATAAATGCAGTATAGTACTACTTCAAGTATTACATTCAAAAATAAACAGAAAAATCAAATAATTTGATATTACATTTAAAAGAAATCTTACTTCATTAAAATAGCAACATTTTATTAAGAATAAAATATTTTAATTCAACCTTGAATAATACTTATTTGACAACAAAATAAATATTTATGTGTGGACGTTATTTTTTTAGTTTAATAAAGATTTCCACCATATAATATCTTATGTATGCAGGAAATAAATCCAAGTTAATTACAAGCGTAAAATTATTTTCTTGACGTCTCGATGCTACTCGAGCAACTAATAGACACTTCCTCTGTTATGTCTGAAGACTGAGATATATTTGCTGGTATTCAACATATATGAAGTATACACAATCTACACTCATGAATGCATCTTGGTTCACTCGAGAAGTTATTTTAAATGCGTCGTTGCACTCATAAGCAGAGGCAATTCGCGGCTAATAAATGAAAACACAAACTAGTACGACATTATACTTGCAAATTACCAATTAAATTGTATAGTTTGAACGATACGTACACGGCTATTCATAATAGAAAGGGTTCATCATATTCTCCATTAGTGACACTTTATGCAAAACTTGCGTTCGTTCAATTTTATTCTTTTTATTATTGTTACTTTTTCAATTTAACTTTAGAAATATTATTGATCTACACCCTTCTACAGATTTATTAGGCTTATTAAATATTAAAAAAAAATATATATAATAAATAATTATTCATAGATTAATAAATTTTTAGTTTATTTATTCTTAAAATGGTATAAAAGCATTAAATTTCTAAGAAATATTCCTAGAAACACATTCATGTAATTAAGTATTAATTAATTATAGTCATACCATAGAGTGAATACAATGCACTCTTACCCTCACTATAGTTTATTTACTGCATACCATTATAAATGCATATATAATATTTTTTATGACAAAGTTTCAACAGTGTTGAATTAAAAAATTAATTTGAATAAGTACTTTTTATGCTTGAATGTATAACAGTGTTTTTTTTTACCCAATTAACTATTCCACGAACTTTTTTTCTCTTTAAATATTCATATTTTATAACTTTTGTTTTCTATTTACAAACTAATCTAATTTATGTTATCTAACTTGCTTACAAATAACAACGGCTTTCCTAAAATTTGAAAATCAAAAAAAAAAAAAGTAACTCATATATTAGACAGTTGAAATCTTGACATAAAAAAAAAAAGATGAACATTTCTGATGTTTACACTTTTATATCAAAGCTGGCAAAAATTTTTGTTTTTACGAACAGTATTCATGGAAGTATTTTCCTTTTTTTTTTTTTCTAGTAAACTTGTAAGAACTAATATGATAGCATGGTAACATGATATATTAACTTATTATATCCAACAATAATATACACACAGAGTGCATTTAACCTCTAAAGAAAATGTCGATACAATCCCTACTTCAAAATTAAATAAATCAAAAATAATCACAAATATAATATAACGTAATTTTAAAATAAATAATTCACATTTACCTTTTAATTGATATTTATCCCAGCGTAAAACTAGTAATATATGTAGCTAATTATTAATCAATACAAATAATCACTAAATTATCACGAATACACTGCACTGTACACTAACACAGCACATTGTGATAATATTTATTTGAATATTTAACCAGCTTTGGAACCTTTTATTAACAGTTTAAAAACTTCACGTTTAATGTTATTTGATCCTTAGCATATACCAACTAACTCAGTTAATTTTTAAAATTCACTAACGCCCAATATGCACTTACTAATGTATTATTAAACGTGTATATATAAAATATTTATCACGAAAAATAATAAATGTTTTTAAAAAACAATGATAAGTGCATAATGTCAGATATTAATTGTATTCTGGATACAACACGCGCACACACCACTCCTTGACACAACTATCGTGGCACCCGGCGCGTAACTAAAGCGCATGAAAACACTACAGCTTGTTTCTCCCACGTTCTTCCACACTCGACTATCATCGGATACACTCGAGATTGTTCGGATTATTGTAGTAACGCCTACAATACGTGAGTCCCACCTTCATGCGGGCGTTTACTTCACTCATCCCACTATATCAACATTTCTTTTCTTCATTGTTGCTTCCGCTTACGCGCAAATCTTTGTTTAATTTTTTTAATGTTTTCTTTTCCCAGAACAAAAATAAAATGTACAGCACATGAATAAATAACATCACGATGAAAAATCAGTATACTCACACACACACAAGAATTATCTACTAAAAGGATTGCAAGATTTTTTTTTTTATATATATTTAATATAAAACTTCATTTGCACGGAAAATTGACAGAAATTTTATTAAATTATTTATTGAAAATTTTTAATAATTATTTTGATATGTAATTGATTGTTCGGTTGTAGTTTTAAACGTCTTGGATTACAGAAGAATCAGCTTTAATACTTTTTGTGTTCATGTGTTATATTTAAGAATAATTAAAGTTAAATTTTTGAGAGATTTTATTTTTGAGATATGTTTAGATATGAATGTATGTAATCACGAGTATAATTACGTAGTTAATTAATTAGTATTGAGCAATATTTTTTCCTATGTTTATCTATATCTCGTGACCCATGAGTTAGAGGATCAAATTATCAGTCTCTCAGACTCTTTGAATCTTCAAAACCATTAAACATATTTGGATACGGTTTTTACTGCTGATCTACGTGGGGTTTATATGTGTTTAAGATGTTTATATGTATTATTCCTCATCATGAGAGCATATTCAGACTGTGTCCAGACAAATCCCAGCTAGATCATGAGAATATGTACACAACAGGAGACTAAGGGAAATGAAATAGTTAGATTTACTATCATGTGTTAATTTTCCATTTAATATCTCAATACAATACGAAAAAAAGGATTCAACTATAAAATGTCAAATAAAAAATTAATACACCATAATAAATCCAACTATTTCGATTTTTTTCAGCGTAGTTGGCTTTTATTTCCCTTCGTGCTGGCATTATGATACTTTATCGTAGCTTTAAGATGTAGATACTGATGATGTTTAACTCTAAAAATACATCAGTGAATATTTCCTCATTGGAGTGATGCTTTGCAGTGATTTTCACTGATTCATTTTCAGAGTGAATAAAACTGAAAGTTTCATAACTCATTAAACATACTAATGAAACTCCAATAATTTATATCAATTAGCAATGATGATTGTTAAAATTAGCTATCATTGAATTAGATTTGAATGAATGTTAATTTATTATTATAAATAAAGTAAAAGTTTTAAAAGTAAATTTACACATGTTATTTTAATTTCTGTCAATACATAAATTTCTGATGCTTGTTTACATGAATATATATGATAAATATTTTAAGAAGTAGAGATAGAGTGACAGTGGGAATCTATAGCGGGGAATAAGTGGATTGAGCAGAAGGGGACGCAGAAAATCAACGATAGCAGAGTCGGTAGCTCGAGTACAGAACTGGCGGAGACAACCGAACAATCTGTAGAAGCTTGTCCAGGACGAGACAAGTCCGTAGATCAACCAATCAGATAGGCACCCCCTCTTATCCATTGTCACAAAATGGCGGCTCTAAATCAGTTTGACTCCGCCTATCGTTCTCCCCACTTTTGCTATTTCTTGCGTTATTTCATGAAAAACTCCGCCTATCTATTCATTTTTGCCACTCTTGTTTTCTACTTTCATACGTTGTTCTCTTTTTCACCACCCTTCCTTTTTTCTCGCACATTTAAAATTGTAAGGGTTATTCGTGTTAGCGTTCCAATAGACATCTCACAAATTCACAGATTTATCTCTATTCACGTACGTTTTTCTGAATGAAGACCTTGCTTCTATAGGAGCAAATGAATATATTTTTAATGTACCTTTTGTAAATATACATTGTCTGTATAACTTAATTATTTGTGGTTACTAAAGCTTATAATGAAAATTCCATTATGCTTATTATTTTATTCACTACTTTGTCCTTCATAAATTGCTTTTTTTCCTTCTTTGTTTAATATTAAATTGTTTTTAATAATTATCTTGACTATTTAAAAGAATGTAAATATATAGTGAACTTTATTATCTGAAAGAAGATTTAATCATTAAATTTTTAACTTTGAAGCTAAAATATAATAATGAATCCAACTATTTCGATGTCTTTTAATGATCCGATTTTAGAATTTCTGAAGTTTCAAAATATGATATTTGAAGTTTTTAAATGAGAGAGTGATTTTTAATCTTCAAAGTAGTATTTTCCAAGTTAAATATTGATTTCAATGGTAACTAAATCTTTCCATGAGAAAGTTTAATGCTGAAAATATAAATATCTTAATAAATAATTGACCATAAAAAAGGGATTAAATAAAGAAACATCCTATTGTATAATACGTTTTTGAACAGGGTAGGATTTTGACTACGAATCAACCCTCCCTAGTTGAGTTAGCATGCAGTGGAAATAAAAAATCAATATTTTTTTCGACAGTGATTTCAAGAGAATGATCAAACTGAAAACAAATAACAATTTAACAGAAGTTATTACACTAATTGCAAAAGTAAAGGATTTTATTAACTAAAAAAAAGTTGACTAAAAATATTTCTTTTGAAGGCAACTTTTTTTTCTTTCTTTCTAAAAAAAGAATTAGTGAAAATTACTGCAAAACGGTGCATGTTCAGTGATGCATGGTTAAAAAAGCAATGTACATTCGAAGAATAATATTTTAATGTAGATATATTTGTTTTAAAATAAATATTTGTTTTATTTTAAAAATTTCATCTATCTTGAAAGTATTTGAGAAATAATTGCACTATTTTTGACACAACAACATTGGAAATTTTTGTAATCGTTAAGCAAATGAATTACCTTCGAAAGAGTCAAATTCTTAGGAAAAAGAAAAGCTGGCCTATTTTTGACTCATCACTGGATCAGTCTAGTCATCCTCGACCCAATGTTGGACAAGGAATGGGTCAGTTTTGTTTCCCACTAGAAATATGATGTTAGAAAACTTGAAGCTGTCGTGATGCAGTAGACTTTCTACAAAAAAAAAAAAATTGTCTTTTCCATTTAATATTACGTCCAAGTCCATTAAACTCAACAGCTCGATTCTCTAATTCATCATTATAATGACCTTCTCTCCCCCTCCCCCACGAACTTTCCATTTTTCCATTAGGTCAGTGTAAAGCTGTTTATTGTAATGAAGTTTTTGCGTTCATTATAAATGCAGAGTTCATTATAATAGAGAAATACTAATGATGTGCACAAATAGACAAAATTATTAGAAATTTAAAATAATTTTTTTTTATTTTATATAAAGTACATGACAGTTTTTTTTTAACAGTGGACATAAATTCTTTAAAAAGTTAGAATGAATACAAAATTGATTATAACGGCCTTGATAACTTTCCTTATCTCTTTATTACCATGATATAAATCATTAAATAGGGTAAGTTTTAATTTTTTTTTTTCTTTTAAATCACACTTTTAATTCTTAAACTGGTTTACAGAGTAGAATTTCTAATAAATTTTCGAATAAAACTTGTCCAGAACATTATCTCGTAATTTAATACACAAAGAAAAATTCTTAGAAGAATTTAAAACCCTGATCTGAATGACGTAACGCGGAAGTAAAAACACTGTAATGTCCATATATGGAATTAGAATTGGAGCAAATTTTACTAGACTTTATCTCATAAAGTTTATAGAGCTTTCCCTATTTTTACTTTACAGCTAATAAAAATAAACCAATTTTTCCATGTAGTGTCGTGATATTCTCATAAAATATAAAGTCTTTCAAAAATAAAATTACATGAAGCTTCTTTTTTATGGGAAATATTTATTTTGTTTATCCTAAATAGATTAACTTGATGTTAAATTTTCTCCTCGTTTCAAGAGACGAAAAATTGTACTCCAAAATACTGTAAGGATTGTGAAAACTCCAAGAGACTGTTGGAGATTGTTAGAGACCCTAAGAGACTGATTATTTCACCCTAAATTACGAATTTGAATAAATATTTTACATAAATAATTTCAACGGATACTTCTGACATTTAATTGAATAAAGGAGTTTGAAATCTCAACGTAAAAGAATTATTAACATATGTTATCAAAAATAATGATGATACAATAAACTGTAAATAATAATTTTAAAAGTGATGATGATTTAAGATGAAGTATCATGAATTTTGTGTAGAACAACTCCCTGCTAATATCTTTTATCCATGAGACTTTTCTTCCCAACAAAGATGTAAATAGTCTTGATGCTCTTTTATAGCTAATGGATGCTCCATCTGAAAGTATATAATGTATTTTCTGACATCTTATTAATACATCTCACCCTATCACAGGACTTACTTTTTTTGACAGGATTATTTTAAAGAAAGTAAGATTATTGAATTTGCTTGACGCCTGAAGACATAATGAGTCTTCAAGTTCCAATAGGTTACATCTACCTGAAGAACCTTTCCTTAGATTTTAGGCGACACGGACGGTCTGTCTGGACTTATTGTCGTCCATAGGCGCCAGTTCGAATACCCTCTAACTGTGCCATGTCTCCTTGTATCCAAACGCATTCGCTGTGACGCCAAAGTTTTCACATAAAAAAAAAAATAAAAAAAAAAAGATTGATGAGTCACGCACCAATGCGACTTGGTTGACAAAGCTTTCACATGAATTGTGGGATTGAAATTTTTAATTTGAAAATAAAGGAGTAAAAATCAACTGAAATATTGTGTTTCTTTTTTCTTAAAAAAAAAAAAAATACAAACGTGTTGCCAATCATTTTTTTTGTGTGAAAGTAAAAGAGTCAGTAATAATTAGTCTGTTAATTATAAAAATAATAAAGAAATCTTTAGATGTAATAAAAGGTATTTTTTAAAGACTTGGAATTAAATGATGAGACGGAAAGACATTGGAGTATATGAT